TCATCTGACCCCGTGTCGTTAAGCCAACGGTCGTTCCAGTGAGTTTTTCGTATTGCGTAGGTGGAGGGGCTCTGACCATCCGAGCAACTGCTAAGCGCGACGTGGCTAAAGGCGCTAAATGCGGGTATTCCAAAGTTTGAAGTCGGATTGTTATCTGTATCATCATCTTGGATTTCTTTAGACTTTCCTTTGCCTTTTGCGTCGCGTCTCTTAAGCTTGTCGGTATTTTTCTGGTTCAGATAATTTTGACGTGTAAGCCATTTTTTCCCATTTTTAGCCTCCCAATCCTGACGAAGCGATTTGTTGTGCTCATAGCACTTGCCATTCTTGCAATATAGGCAATTGAATCTATTGCCGCCTTCATTAGCCTTCCCTCTTCCCTTCGCCATCATAGTAGTGCTAGAGGAGCATGTCTCGAAATTGCGTGCCTCATCTAGGAGATCAGCAATTAAATAGTCGAGTGAGGGAGCTACGGCGGTGTTTCGAGCCTGGGATCTCTGTCTCTCGGCCCAAACTGGAAACTTTCTAGCCACTCCGGCGATAAAGAACATTCCATTCCATCTCTCTGGTATAGAATCAGAGAGTGAGGAGATCTTTTCGACCCTTTTGGTGAACTCAGAAACATAGTGGTTGAGGTCGATGAAGTCTTCAAATCTTATATTCGACCAATCAATTATGGCTCAATACTCTAGATTCCAACCTTTTCCCTCAAACCGTTCTTGCAGACTTGTCCACATTTGGAGAGCTGAAGTCTTGCCATCAATCATGCTGTGAATATTTGGGGCTGAGTTGATCATAATGGCTAGTTTCATCCTAGCATCTCCAGCGAGCCACTGCTTTCTCATTTCAAATGCCTCCTTATTCAAAAATCTTTCTTTGATGGACACATGTGGGGGTTCTTCCACTTCATCACATATGTAGTCCTCCAAGTTGTTGGCTAGAGCAATGTTCTCCATATTGTTCTTCCATTGCTCGTAATTTTCCTCCCCCTTCAACTTGAAATAAGGAGGCAACTGGAGTGTACCGACATTTCCCATAGCATTTGAGGAGGCCTTGGGTTGACTCCACACAGGCTTATTGCTTGACGTAAGCATCTCCTCAATCTTTGGAGCCATCTTGGAACTTTCGAAATCTTGGACAGACATTGCACCTTTTCGTATAATTAATTTAGGTTGAGGTTAAGAAATCTTTTGACCTATTAGCTTTTGCTACCGGACTCAGAACCTGTTGTTATTTATGCGACAGTGGAGTTAAGAGTATACTGCATACCAGCTATATATTCAGCTGCGTGTGGATACTTGCTCTCGAAATCAGATTCCTTATAATATAAATATATATATAATTTATTGTGTGTGTTATAACTACAACTATTGGTCCACCTTTTCTTGTTCTTACAATTATCTACACACTTTACAATTACGGAAAGTGTGGAATTCTAAGCGAGACACGTGATACAATTATAGATTTATCGCATGACTTTCAACAGTTCTTATTATAAGAAGCGGAAGAAATGGCTTACCCAGATCTTCAGCTTTGCAATTTGTATTTTATTATTCTTTTGATCATAATCTGTTACTGGATCAGTTGGTGTTGGTATACCGCAGAATAAGTCATGAATAGTTCATTCAATTAATGAAATCTAGAGAAAGAAGATTTACTACTTCTTGCTATATATATATATATATATAAGGAATTGTAATTATCAGCGCCAATCATAACAATCTATGTTGCCAAGCAACCACATCCAGACCACTGAGGATCCAGGATCATAAATATTGTATTATAATTTGTCACGTGTACCCCAGTTTTTATGCATAATGCACACTAAGCTGGAAACCTGTATATACTAGACACATCCTGTAATTTTAGAGGGGAGTCACACACCGTCTTAAGATTTCACTATATAGAAGATATAGTAGAAATCTCGAGACATTGTGACCTGTAATTTCCGTATATTCACATTTTATCACCCTAGCATCCTAGGAACTTAAAACCTCACCACAACATTGGTAATCCCTGTAGCTAGCTATTTTATGATTGGTATACAATTTTGGAATGGACACTTGTTCTGGAATAGCTAAGATAGTTTGTGGAGAGATATTTTCATCAATATGCAGAAGTGAAGTTACTATGATAATTGTTATGTTACAGATTTGGGGAAACTCGTCCCTTATCCCCTAATTTGTTCGCTTGTAGACCAATCATGTAACCAGTATGCAGCTTACAAAAGTATGCTCCCAAATGAGTAACCATGCCATTTGTATTATATCAACAACCCATCTTTCGTACTGCACACATTACTACTTGTAATGTTGTTATGTAGAGACTGGATCACCTCCATGCTGCCATAATAACTACCTATGCACCAGCTACTATATCTACCATACTACATAGCTGAGCGTAACAAGCTAGGCCCTTTATTCCATCCCTGCTGTAATAAGATTAATAGTTAATCATTATCCTGATTTGGCGCCTTGAGGCCCATGCAGGTTTTATCAGAAGCTATGTACTTTTGGTAGGATGATCTAATTTGGCGTTTTGAACACTCACACTCAGACTTCATTTGCAGATGCCACTCGAGGTTAACCCTTACGGCGTATGACCTCTTTCGTGCATACCCACCCATCCCTACTGTACTGGCGCAAGGCCCACTTATCATGGCAGAAAGGGACGTATCCAAGCTTTGTATTGTGGTTATGAGCTTAGGTTAGTGTCACTATGCATGCTGACCTTGTACGAGTATGTAGATTGATGAGTTCAGGTTGTGTTTGAAGGTGTATCTGATGTTCACTGTATTTTTGGTTGTTCTATGCTAATTGTGTGCCGAGCACTCGCTACTTATACTCATGTGCGGCCGCTAGTCGGCTCCTGACCACATTAGCTTCCTCCTGCAGATAACCCAAACGATACAGGAACTACACAAACAACGTAAACATCTAATCACGTTATGTACATGCAAGTATCCTAGCTGTATAACATGCCCATCACAACACTTTGCGCCATACAAGGCCAGCGTCTAGCGGGTACGGTATGGACTTATGGAGAAAACGGCGGAATTAAGAAGGGAAAGCGAAGCATTCACGGCAACCACACTAACAATAGCGGCACAGCAAATAGACGACCAAGGGTTCACACTTTTGTCCAACCAAAGCCAGAGGTTTTAAAGAGAAGTCCTGGAGGCCTGCGTAAACAAGTCTAGGTTCCAGCCCCAACACCACAACAATTTGCACCATTGCGGTCAAATTCAAGACCACAGTCATCACTTTTCGGCACCTGAGGGCAGGGAAAGGATGGCGAGGTAAATTTCAATTTTAGCTAGTCCTAACTCAGGCTCAAGGCCAATTGCACTTCTTGTAGGTAACAAAGGACTACAGATATATAAATTTTAATAGGGGTAGTGGGTTTTTATTGTAATAGTTCCCCCTCATGTAAATATTTAGATAGGCTGATAGCTGCCTGCATGGGCCCACAGGGCGCCAAATCGAGTTAAAATGAATCAAATTCAAAAAAACAGATAGTAAAATACTTAAATAAAACTACTCTCTAAAATATGGATATGGAAGAATAAAAATTTATGGGAAACAGATGGATATACCTTTCCTACATGTGCAACAGACTACACCAAAATCAGACCCCATGACCTTTGCAAATACTTGGCACATTCTTCTCCACCAATTGGGGTTAAGCTACTCCTAGATCATAACAAAATGAAACCTGCTATCAGATTGGAGTGTAGGCATTTGAGCTGAAGCGAAATTGGAGGGCGAGAAGAGGTTGTGTGGACTGCAAGATGTGACAGTTGGGGAAGTTCTCAAGTTGGCTTGAGATGCACGATCAATAGTTTACGATTCTTCTAAAGAGAAAATATGTATGTACAAGAAGGGCTTATTTATACCCACGCTCTCCTCCAATACGTGGCCCGCATCTATTCCTAAGAGCGGACAGATGTATCTATGGGGATTTTAGGTTTCTGCATTGGTGTTAACTCCCGACGCTCACCCTACCACTCGGCTACCTTTCAATCAGTTTGGTCGTGCCCGAAACAATCCTCTCTGAGCCCATCCGAGTGCTGTTAACTTTCTCAATAGATGTTCCGGCACACGGTCCACCGCACAGTCCTCTAATTATGTCACTCCCCATGCTCGAGGGAATCTTCCCCGCGACTGTCCGAGTGTTTGCTAGTAGTCCGAGCCGTAGAGTGAGTTTTTCATTACCTGACGTCCCAGCAGGTGGAAAGGGTGCCTGCGTTGGCCAATGCAGGCTACAGGGTTTACAGTTGGTTCACCAGCCGTTACAATGATTATGTAACAGCCAACTTTAGAACCATGTATGGAACATAGATTTGATCAGTTTGCATGGGCAATCTAATAGTCAGTCTATATTGGGAATTAGTAGTATACTCAAGATGTATATAGTACCTAGATAGACTCCTCATGGTGGAGGACAATCAATTAAATCAACTATGAGAGAGATTCACATTAGTATAACTTTGCCTAACACATATTGATACAGAAACTTTTGGTGAACTTCCAGAGAGCCCTAGCAATAAACAACTCAATGGGTATATCCTCGACCGCATGATTCAGTGTCGAGCAGTTGACCAGAATCTACATGGTTATCTTGTAGAAGACTTCGAAAGTTTTACGAGACAAATTTGGCAATTATTAAGGAAATAATGACCCCTCAGTCATTGAGGTTGTAGAGCGCATTGATTCAAGTAACTACCGAAGTGAAACTAAGTACAGAATTTGTAGTCACGTGTGTACCAACAACGTGGCCTACTTGATAGCCCCAATTATTCTAAATTCTAACATTCCCTCATAGACTAATTGGGCGTATTCCTTGTCTTCTTGTATCTTTGCTCCATTAGAAGTTTGCTTGAATGTTAGTTGTCTGCTCCCAAACTGGTCTCTTAATTTTCGATGAATCAATCCAAGCTGGGTTTTCTTTGGAATTGATTCATCACCTCTCATTTTCCCCCACGTACACTGTATAGTCCTATGGTTTTCGAGAGCGATCCTTTATTGTCCTATTGTTGTGTTGAAAGGCTCCTCCAGGATTTAGGCGTCTTAGTATCAGCCTTTCTCAGCTTTCAAATTCATTCCCCCAGTTTCCGTACTGTGGTTGTTCCGGTGTTTTTTCTATTCAAATCACTAGTGTTCCATTGTCTCGTTTCCCTCTACAAGCAATATGTTCCACTAGTGTATCCCTTCCAAAGACTCTTATTCCAAAGCGTACTGTATGATAGCTCTCTCATACCATCACAAAGCTCCACATGGATTTCTTTCTATCTTGCTTTGGTCTTTTTGTTACCGTTTGTTCTTCTACGTTTTGACTTAATCACCCCCACAACAATATAAACTTAAACGAAGATAGCTGTTGAGAGGATGTTAATGTTGAAGCCTTAGGCTATTGTAGAGACTTTTGTTGTCGAATAACTTGACGAGAATCCCTCTGCTTAGATGTATGTGAAGGCTATGAGAAGGAATATTTTTGAGAGTATAAATAGCAGCTTTCGAAGCGTAGCTGCTGGGTTGAGGTTCGAACTGCTGTTGGAAATCAGCAGCGAAATTTATTGCAACAGCTTTCGGATAGGAGTTGTCAGTTTGGGGTTTTGACAATCTTCGAAAAAGAGTCGAAGAATTTGAATTAACTGTTATCGAAGAGTAGCTGTCAAACTGTGATGTTGGGAGCAGCTTTCGTACTGTAGCTGCCAGTTTGTGTTCTCTTTTTTTGGATTTTTCGGGTCGACTCATTTGACCCATGGGCTGGCTATTGTTGCGTTTAGGAACCATCAATCCTCACGAGGATTTCGCAGTGACCCCGATCCTCAGTACTCGACCTATGCTTTCCCTAACGAAGGCGATAACCTCCTGTCTTCTCAGGCGACGGCCATTCACTTTTCTTTAGAAATTGCAACTCAAAGGTGATGGCCTTGTCTTGGGTTCAAGAAGGTGACGGCCTCCTAGTTGGATTAATTTGGCGCAAGTAGAGCATATGCCCTTCTACTTGCCCATAACAAAGATAGTATCAAACTCCGGGCGATACAACTTGATTGCGCGAGCGACAATCCGGGCTCATAACTTATGAAGGAAATAATGACCCCTCAATCATTGAGGCTGTAGACCGCATTGATTCAAGTAACTACCGAAGTGAAACTAAGTACAGAATTAGTAGTCACGTGTGTACCAACAACGTGGCCTACTTGATAGCCCCAATTATTCTAAATTCTAACAGCAATTAGTATATCGAGATATAACAAGGCTTTTTAAAGGTAAGGTCCGGCAACATGGCATTATGGTGGTAACATCCAATCAATCTATCGACATTAGAATCCATAAAGCAATCCATAACCCTTGGACTGAGTAGAGTCAAGAGGAGGTCAGACTGCAGCAAATTAACGGTAGTTTTGTGCCACTATGATGGTATACAACCCAACGGAAAAGCGAAGATATCATTTTCAAGAGGACACCCAGCACGTCTAGACCTATCTCCACCATTAATCACACAAAGTGAGTGGTCACAGATCTCGCGAACATATACAACAATCCCAATATTAAGTACAGTGGCGAAAAGTACAATTGCTTTTCAAGCCAACAGTTATATGTATTTTCTGGACACTATCCAACTTTTCGAGGACCACTTCGAGAGCCCCAAGATAAGGCGAGAACATCTCAGCGAGTGGAGCGCTATAAACCTGCAGGCTTTTATTTACGAAGCTCCTGATAAGCCAAAAATTGACAACTTCGAATCTCTTCTCAAGAGACTGATGAAGAACCAACCAGGACTCGATCACGCCTTTCGCACTGAAGCTACTCTTCGAGACCGCATCTTACTCGCCTGTGAAGACATACAGGAGTGCGAACTGGCGATTCTCAAGCCCTCACCGGCGCTTCAGGGTGTATGTGCTGACATAAAAAATACCATCAAAACGCGCACCAAGATATTTAAATGCCAATTCCTCCAGTGGCAAACAAAAGGGGAACAGTGTTGGATGGATCGAACTTTTGGAAGAGCAATATAGACATACCATGGCAGAAGCAACCGTGGCAACAACTTCTGTGGCCCTTACCAAAGCACCAATTTTCAGCACAGCCGACCCTCCAATAATGGCCAACAACCCCCTCGAAACAAGAAGTGCTACGTCTGCAGAAAAATAGGCTGCTAGTCTTCGCCTCACTCAATTTAAGAACGACAATCAGCGTACAAGCAATACCGTGATACAGCGCAAGTGAGCCACGTAGATCTATCACACGAAGCATACCACGTCTTTTTGGCTGAATCAGATACCCCCAAACACTACAACGCCACTAACAATTGGGAGCAGCCTTTGGCCTATCAGTTGCGGCCCAGTTAAGGGAACCGTCCATTGACTATATGTAAGCCCTCAACAAGCGCCTACAGCAGTAGATCGATAATCTCGACCGGTGTATTACGTCCTTATCATTTATCCTAGAACCTACCAGGATATATGTATTTGTCGACAGATCTTTTGCAAATAACAAGGACTTGTCGTCGCAAATCGAATTTGTGATTGTTATTGGTAACAAAAGTAAGGCTAGTGCTAACTTTGAGGATCAGGACGACCTGAGCATAAACAAAATAAGGTTTCATGGTAACATAATTCATTGGAGCTCCACCAAGAGCAAGCGAGTGACGCAATCTGTACTCGATTCAGAAATCTATGGCATGACCCACAGTTTAAATGCAGCTTATAGCTTCAATAGCACTATTAGTATGACCCTCGGTCGGCTCGGAATTGCACCTCTCCCTCTTGTTGTTTGTACCAATTCATTCTTCTTATACAGTTGCATTATTAAACACGGCACTACCCACAAGAAACGCCTTATGATTGATATCATGGACCTCCGACAAATGAATGAGCGTCGAGAGCCTATAAAGGTACAATGGATAGATGGTAATATTAACCCTGCCGACTCCATGACAAAGGCAATACCAAACCAAGCTCTCGAAACCTTCATTGCTACTGGTTGGATGAATATCAAGTTAACAGATGGGTTGATTTTAAGGACAAGGAGTGTTGGTACAGTACGGTAAACGCGCGTAAATAAAAGGCAATAAATTGATTCAATAAAACAATACAATTACATTCACATATATATTCATCCTATTTATCTGTTCTAAACCTTTGGTGTCATGTAAAAATGCCAAGAGAATATTACGTAAGTTGAACTACTGTTACAATAGGTTAATAAATATTCCACCTATTACTACAGTGCACATGACTACTATTCCAACAAGGAAACATAGGAAAATATTGATCTCAGAAGTTAAGGGGGAGGCTTTTAGAGAGGGTAAGACAATATCATTCTTTTCTACCTATTAGAAAGTTGCCAGTGTCTGGATTCCTCTAATTGATCAAAAGTGTAGGCCTCCACACACGGGTGTTGATCGCACTAGGGCCTTAGCACCTACATAGGATAACTCTCTGTAGATAGCTTAGATAGAGAATCAAGAACAAAGTGACTGACAATTATCTATCTGCTAGCAGATTCAGCGTGTGCCAACAATTAAAATATGTGTAACTGCTCATTTTTCTTTTCTTTTCTTTCTATTTGGTATTTTGTTTATATATTTAAAAAATTAACTTTTCTTCTTTTTCTGTTGCATAAAATTCTCAAATACTCGAAGAAGGGACCCTATGTCACGTAGTTAACTTTCCAAGCGTATGATTTAGCACTGACTGATATTGTTCCAAGCGAAATAGTATATGTAAATTAGCTACTTGCACTCTGGTCATAACTTTGCAATCAATTTATCAATCAAATAATGACCTTGTCTTATTCAGTAAAAATAGACAAAAGACTGCAGCCGTCTCTTTTCAGCACGCGCGGGTAAGGAAAAGATGTCGAGATACAATGCAATTTTAGCTAGTCCTGTCTCGGACTCAAGGCCAATTGCACTTTGAATATGTGACAAAGGACTATAGACATAAATAAAATTTAATAGGGGGAGACGTTTTTTAATTTTAATGGTCTCCTCCTCATGTAAATATATAGGCAGGTTCATAGTTGCCTGCATGGGCCCACAAGGCGCAAAATTGGATTAAATGAAATTAAATCCAAATAAACAAGAGACAATATTTTTTTTAAAAGTCTTACCTTAAGCAAAAATTATAGGCAGTCATTATACAACTCATTAGATAATAGATATGACGGCCCGAAATTTTTAATGGCCACGTGGTTGTTGGTCCAATAGTCGGTAAGCCTACACAGGGTCAATCCAGGGATTCCAACAATTGGTTTCGAACACACACAAGTCTTGAATGTAACAAATCACGATACGAAAGATTTGTCATGGGTATTGGTTTTCATACAAAACCCTTGGATTGTAGACAATGAGGGACAGGAGGTTTCGTGTTTGCAACTTTATTTTAACAGTTGATCCCCTATGTACATATATATAGATTGATATCTTCCTAGATGCTTTTCTCTTGAGCTTAAAATCTTAAGATTTGGGTCCACGCCAGCTTTTGACCACTCGCCAATTGTCTTTTATCCCTCAAGTTTCCACAATAAATATGAGACTTGAAGCCACAGGCATCGCCCTGCTTGCGAGCAGTTTTTCGTTGGATGATTTCCTCAGTATTAGTAATAAGACTATCTTCAGCTTACGTTGAAGCCCGTAAATCATCCTGATTTCTTTGAATTGTGTTTCGCCAAGCTTTAGTATCCTTTTGCAAATTTAAAGCCTGTTTGACTAATGGACTCTCTATTTTTTCACGAGAACATAAGCATTGCTCAGCCTAACGCCCATTTTAAGGGCCACTTATTCAATTCGTAGCTCTAGTTTTACTAGCTTTATTCCTTTTCAGGTGTAGGGTGTAGAGTCTATCCGGAATTTACAGTGCCAGGACTGAGATCTGATTGAAAGCGGCTTTTTATTTCATTTCCGAGCTGTCAAAGATGGCCTGTCCTTAAAATATTGGATCTCTTGCCCCCTCAACTTCGGCTTGAATTGAAAGTCTTGAATTTATAACAATGACCTACTTTATTGTATAGCTTTCTGGACGTAGTTCTTAATCCAGGTTTATTTTTATGAAGTCAGGAGACGTGTATCTACACAGGTGGTCAGAGTTAAGCCACAAGAACACGCGCTTGTTGGATCAGGTTGGATTGTGAGCTAAGGCTTTCAGCTTCAGAATAGGTGTGGGCCCCATTGCTTTTGCTTCGGGGCTATTGCTTGTTTGCTTGTAGGAGTTGGTGTTTTACACTTCTTGCGAATCAACTCATTCCAGGATCTCGCAGAGGTTGGGTTTATGCCCTAGCTGGGACTTAAAGTTGGGGCTATTGCTTGCAGATCAGCTCCTGTAAGTCTATTGCATCCTACACTGAAAGTC